TGCCTATAACTTGAGTTTGAGGTGGTAGAATATATAATAAAATAACAAATCCTTGTATGGAAAAATGTTCATTTCACACGCACGCTATTAACAGATGCTTAATAATTAACTTATGTATTCGTAAACATTTATTCTCGATAGTCGAAATGGTACATTATATGGATCAATGGAAACTGGAACAAAACAACAATTGTCAATTGAAGTTCTAATTTTGGGAAATTTAGTAACAAATATAAAATCCCTAAACAGCTCATCGATATGTATGTTTGCGCTATTAAAAGTAGACAATATTGAACAATGATCTGAAGTTGTCATGCAACTAGCAACAATATTATATTTCAAAATACCTGTATATGATGATATTTTACAAATATCTCGGGATTTTTGGACCAATTTTAAACCAAGCAAGGCAAAAAGTCCCCATTCAAGAATATATCTTCTTCTCAAAAGGTAAAATACTTAAAATACTTGATTAAATTGTTTACTTCGACGGAATGTAAATTAACAGCGTTTGACTTGCAAGACGTCAAAAACGGAAGATTTCAACGCGCTGTCGTTTATCGCGTATTCATTTGCCAAAAGAAGTATTTACGTCAATTGAAAGCTTGCTTATTAAAGAGCCAACTAGTAGAAGTCTGATCGATTTGGAGCTTTATTGCATGGAGAAAATCGGTTTTGTTAAGAGGGTATCGTAAATGAAGTAAGATAGTGTGCTCCAAAGCTACGATTATATCTATTCCTAAAAGTAACTCATAACAAAATAACTCATGACAAAACTACGCAAATATTTATTGTTTTTATTATAAATCATAAAAATACAATAAATACAATATATTTAGTTATGTTTCTGTGGTGGCGAACATATTCGTAAAAATATTCAACCCCCCCTGTCATGTGTCCACGAGAAGTTTTCGCGAAGATTGCGAGTGACTTTCAAATGATTTGTTTTTTATTTTGAACCTAAATGGTATACGGGAGGATTTTTCCTTCCTAATGGGACAAATGTTGCCAATTTTTGGATTGGGACTATTCTACAATGAAGTACTCTTGGATACTGTAATCTAAAAACATATGGAAACGAAGAAGTTGCATTTATCAGACAGAGAAGCGGCGAGCCATTAAAATGGCGGCAATTTGGCGGAATATCGAAGGACACAATATCGAAGGTAAAATACACTGCACTGTTACAAAAGTGGATGAAACCTTCTTTGAAATCTTCTTCAGCCATTTATGATTATGTAAAAGTACAATAACTGGATGATATTTGCGAGATTCGGCGATAAAAAGCAAACAAGACGGCAAAATATGGCTGAAATCGTGTTTTCGTGGGGGGTAAGTGAAATAAAATGTATTATATTTAAAGAAAACAATGACAATCCTTATGAAATCAACAATATTTATATTAAATTAAGCATAGTTTTTCACCCCATGATATTTCTTTTTAGGAAATAAGAATATTTAATTTCTGCCAGGCATATTAGTTATTTTGTGCATAATCAGCAATTTACCTGGGGTGGTGCATAGTCATTTTCTGGTAAATATTCCTTCCAATGACCACCCCTAAAAGCAACCCTTCTAAACATTATAAGCACTTCAGAAAGGCTATCGCTTTTCCTTTTCGGAAGTTAGAGCTATGTCGACACTGCCGTTTCAGGGCGGGGTCATTTTCAGGACTTTCGCCCCGGATTCAGGTTTTCGCACATATGCCATGTTGACCGCCATGGTCATTTTACCCTAAAACAGTTGAGATTACCTGTCCTAAATGAATCGCATACAAACTCATATACAGGTCCTAGACTGTCTGTAAAATCAGCGCATATTTTCCCAGAAAAAATGGCGATTTAGGGTGGTCGTGTTAAAACGGTATTTTCTCAAAGTTGAAAAAGCATTTGACCTAAAAAAATATATGGTCCATTTTCCGATATAATAAGGTATATCTGGGAAAAATTTGAGCAAAATCGATTTTTCAGTCGTGGCCGCGCAATGTCTCATATGTTCGATTTTTACTGACATTCACTCTTAAGCATATTTAACCTCTGGCATGCCTTTTCATATACTTTCAAAATATGAGCTTTCCATGATAATGTACTGGATAGTGTGACGCCGAGGTGGGTATCCTGTGAAACCATAGCAATTGTTTTACCTTCATAAAATAAATCCGAATGATATGGCTTAATCCTTTTGATTGAAAAAATAATCGACTCGGTCTTAGTTGGATTAATTGTAACTAACCATTGGGATGCCCAATCCTTTATTGAAGTAAGACCATTATTCAACTTTATCGAGGACATATTAGGTGCATCAACAATATCAAGGATTGACGTGTCATCCGCGTACAAAAAACAGTCTGACTGAAGATTTTTAGTTATGTCATTGATATATATCAAAAATAGCAAAGCGCCAAGGACAGAACCCTGGGGAACACTCGCTTTTATACTTTCTCACTTAGAAGACTGGCCTTCAATCACAACTCGTTGTTTTCGATTTGATAAATAACTTTTAAAGGGGAACTCCAGTCCAAATACAAGTGGGATTTATATGAAAGATCTTCCCCTTATTAGAATGTTCCTCAAGTATTTTGGTCTAAATATTAATAGTAAAGGAGAAATTGCTTGTCAAAGTTTGCGAGTTTGTCAAATTTGGGCGCCATGTTGTTCTTTTCCCAGCAGACTCATTGACGTCATTGCGTGCTTCGAAGGTGTTGTTCATATAGAAAACTATGGCTTTGTATGGTCATTTAATAAGAATATCGATTATTTCTCTGCTTCTAATTCTTTAATTAACGTGAGTTTAGACCGATTTAACAGAGATATTTTACAGACGGAGATATTTAATTTATATTTCCGAGCTTCTGACTGAGGTGAATCAAGAGTTCCCAGTCAATGCCAGGTCATGGTTGCTGGCGTAGCTAATGTAGAAAATATGATATATGTCGTTCCTTGGGGATCTGGGCATCTGACTCGATACTTATTGCGCAAATTTGCGAAATGGATTTTCTTGTTCTGATTTGTTGAAAATATATCAATCGTAGTTAAAAATTTAAAATCGGTTGGGCAAGGCTGAAACATCTAGCAATAATATACAGCAGTGACGGAAAGTGAGCTTGTTGGTTTAACTAACTAGGTTCTGAGACTTCTGAAGTAGTCTGTGACAGTGTTCTGAACCAAAAAATTCATAGTCATGTTGCATTTAAGACAGTTTATATAAAATAACAGTAAACCAGGGACCGCGGAAGTATTTCTTGATTGGGGGGGGGGCTAGCGAACGCCGAAGGCGTGAGCCTTCTGGGGGTGCGGGGGCATGCTCCTCCGTGACATTTTGAAATCTGAGACCTCTCATAGCCCCAGAAATGCAATAAAACCTGCTAGTTTCTCTTAAAAAGTTTCTTGAACGACTGTTAAGCAAGCTATTATATATGGGTAAAATTTATTCGCTTAGCGGTACATTTTCCTTGAATAGATTTTGTCTATGAACTTTAATGCCTTATTTAAGCGTAATTTAAATTGAATTGTCGATACTTATCGTCTCTACCTTTCTTAGGAATGTTTTTCCTGGAAAGTGTTCAATAATAAAGAAATATCGAATGGTTTTCCGCCGTGCAGGATTGCGCGATCCATGCACGATGGATGTCGCCAGACCTCGTGCAGGATAGCCAGATCCTGCACGGCTATTGACCAATCAAATTGCGTGTTTCACTGTAGTTATTATATAACCAGCATTAAAAATAAAATTGTTTTTGTTTGTGGAAATTGCACCACGTAAATTTATTACTGCAAAGCTTTCGATCCGTAACTCCGGATCTTCATCAATGCTAATAATATACATATTATTAGCACTGATGAAGATCCGGGCTTACGGATCGAAAGCTTTGCAGTAATAAATTTACGTGGTGTTTCCACAAACAAAAACAATTATATTTTATCGCCATGCAAACATTCAAAGAACTTATAACCAGCATTCTTTTCGTGAAAAGTTTGTTTGGAGATAATTTATGTTCCAAAGGCAAAGAATAATCAATCACAAGCAAACAGTAAGTTAGAACGACGCTTAGCAGTTTTAACACCAACATTTTGTTTGGAACCAAAGCTAAACACGCGTATTCACTGTGCCTGAAGTGTATGGAGTTTCAACCGTTATAACTTATTTGAAACCGAGTGTGATACCTTGGATAATGTTGGGCTCCGAATTTTACTGTAAATAAGGTGGTCAAATGCAACTAACAACTTTTAACATTTTGCACAGCGTCATGAAGGTTGCTATCGAAAAGTGCTATCTGCGCTATATTAAAATCACATATGTATGAATGGGCTAAAGCCCCCCAGGCCCCCTGCTCCGCGGTCCCTGTAAACTATAAACCTGTTAAACCATCGCAACAACTGCGTATAAACATTTCATGTGGGTCCTTACTAGTAACTTGACACTGTCGTGTATAAATAAAACCCATATTGAACCTAACACTACAACGAATGTTTAAAACCCTGTGCTAGCCTGTCTGTTATAAAACAATTATTTTGTAAGGATTGTCTTTTTTTTCTAAAAATCTCATCGTACTTTATTTAAATCGCATCACCTGAACTTCAGGTTACAGCCAACAGAGAAATATATTTCTATAAACAGCTTGTCAGCCGTGGTGTTTTGTAGTATACTATTAGTAGTCCTCAGAATTATCTAGGCTGACATTATTTTATATTATTGATGTCTAAATTCATTTCATATATGCAAATGGCTTGACGCAAACACGCAAATTAAAGAAACGCTAAAAGTAAGACGTCTATTTACAGTAATTGCACAATAAATAATAAAATGTTTTCAGCGACTGAAACTGCTTGTAACAGTCTGCTTCAAGCCCTAACTCAAGGACAGGCTGATTCAATTCGCAAACTTAAACAAATGATTAAAAACATGTTAGCAGTAAAAGATACCCATGCATTCATACGAGTGATGACTCTCTTCTTTCTCACCTGTCTTCGATTAAAATTGATATAAATCCATGGCCACGACTATATCCGTGACTTTCGGAAAGTGAAATACCCGATATCTATACCGCAATTTAATCTTATTGCTCGCATACATGAGCAAACAGAAGTCCCATAAACCGATGAATCGTTGCTGAACGCAAACGCAGCATCGATATTCATGCAAATTGAATCCGAGAGTCCAACAAGAGCCAGATCCACACAGGGCAACAACCGCAACATATAATTATTTAATTCTGTGCAAGCTTTCCGTACACGAGCATGAAGATGACCTGGGAACTCTTGATTCACCTCAGCTAGAAGCTCGGTAATGTAAAATATCTCCGTCGGTGAAATATCTCTGTTAAGTCGGTTTATATAAACAACGGCCTTCGAAGCACGCAATGACGTCAAAAATGAGGGCGCTGGACAAATCCGAGTCTGCAGTGAAAAGAACAACATGGCGGTCATATCTCGGTTGCATTTTAATATTTTCAAAAAATATTTGCGGAAATGGAAAGATCTCTAGCCCCTCGATATAAATCGTTAAAATGTAAAAAAGGACAAAATCAATGTTTTCATCATACGGAGTAACCTTAAGCCTACTTAGCAGTGGATCCTGAATACCAATTAGTTCAGTCAAGTTTGTATAAAAGATTAGTTCAAGTTTGTATAAAAGCCCTTTGTGCCATACTTTATCAAAAGCTTTGCTGATGTCGAGAAATACCTTTCGAACTTCTTTCCCTTGTTCAAGTGCTTGATAAATCGTATGTACAATGTACATTAATTGATTAGCAGTGGAATCACCCGGTCGAAAACCGGACTGCAGTGGGTTTAGAAAACCAATTTCTAGTAGAAAATTATATAATCGAATATATGCAATTTTTTCAACAATTTTGGACAAAGAGACTAGTAAAGAAATCGGACGATAGTTGAGCTTCGACTGACGATCATCCTTTTTAAAAATTGGGATAACATTAGCTAGTTTCCATTTGTCTGGATATTTTCCAGATGAAAAAGAAAAATTAACAAAGCTAGTAAATTAATTAGATATACCCTTAGCACATAACTTTAATATGTTGTTCCCAATACCATCAAAGCCACAAGCTTTACCAGCATCCACATTTTTCAAGAGATTATTGACCTCTTCATCTGATGTTTGGATAAGTGATAAAGTAACAGTAGCTTGGACGTTATTAGTTGGGAGAGAAGCACAACTATCATCCACATTACACTGAGTGCAAAAATATTTTAAAGAGTTCGGCCTTTTCTTTAGTATCACTAATAAATTTTACACCATCAACTAAGGTTGGGATTGACATTTGAATCTTTGCCCCATAAAGAGACTCTACGATACCCCCACCAGTTTTTACTACTGATTAAAGGATCTTGAAGTCTGGCGTTCAGCTTTTTATTGTACATTTGTTTATTTGAACGAATGAGAGTTGTTGTATAATTTCTTTGCTGCCTGTATTCTTCCCAGGAAGCTGTTGATCTCGTTTTACAATGCATTTACAGTAACTTGTTTCTCTTACGAATTGCTCGCCTAACATTTTCATTCATCCACGGTTTATCATGATGACTGATTGTGACAGTTTTATGAGGAATATAAACAGTGCCTTACGTGATCTTTTAGAAAAACATGTTCCCTTGAGAAGTAAAACTGTCACATTACACCCACAAGCTGAATGGTTTGATGCCAAGTTGCTAATATGTAGAAAAGAGAGCAAAAAGAAAGTTGGAACGTAAGTTCCGAATCTTCCGATTATCTAATTCACCTGAAAATATTCACCTGAAGATATTTTTCAGTTTTTTGACACCAATACTGAAGAATATTTCCCTCAGCACAGATGAAGAAAACAGTTTCAGACCAATATCTAATCTTTCTTATGTCTCAAAATTAATTGAGAAAGTGATGGATACCGAATTAACAAATCATATTCAGGAACATAATTTAGATGAAAGCTTACAATCGGCTTATAAGAAACACCATTCTACTGAAAATGCCTGGGTTCGCTACACAATGATATTTTATCTCAGTTGGATGACAGTAAAACTGTACTGTTGGTTAGCCTTGATGTGAGTGCTGCATTTGATACCATTGATCGTAGTATTTTGTTGCGTCTGCTCGAAAGTCGATTGGGTGTCTCTGGGCAGTGTTTAAATTGGTTTCGTTCCTATCTCAGCGACCGTACAACAAGATTTATTATTGATGGAAAACGTTCAGATATAAAACGTGTAAACTTTGGTGTCCCCCAGGGATCTGTCCTTGGCCCAAAACTTTTCACACTATACATATTGCCACTGGGGGATATTGCACGGAAACACAATGTACAGTTTCATATATATGCTGATGATCGCCAACTATACATATCCTTTAAGTATGAAAATAGATTGGAAAACATCGTAAGAATGGAATCTCTGATGCATGACATAAAAACTTGGATGACAAAGAACATGGTGAAGCTCAATGATGATAAAACAAAGTTCCTGGTTTTGACAGGTCCTCGTCGAGACTGCTCTGATTTTCCTTGCTTGTCAATCGAAAACGAAAGTATTGTTAAATCAGAATCAGTAACTCTCTTAGGAGTAGAACTTGATGACAAGCTTACCTTAAAGAGTCATGTTCGTAATGTTGCGAAAACTTGTTTTTTCAAGCTTCGCAATATGCGTAAGATTAGAAAATGTATTACTGAAGATGCAGCAAAAATAATGGTACACAGTATGATTACATCAAGGCTTGACTATTGTAATGCTATTCTATATGGGTTACCAAATTGTGACTTGGACAGGTTATATAGTGTGCAAAAGCTGGCTGCACGATTAATCACAGGAACAAGAAAGTACGACCATATAACTCAGGTATTGGCAAGACTTCACTGCACGGTTACCAGTGAAAAAGAGAATAGAGTACAAAATTCTGTTACTTGTTTTAAACGTCTCCAAGGAACTGCACCAGAGTACTTATCTGAACTGTTAAAAAAGCGTGAAAACAAAGGCACTAGAGCAGTAACAAAAACCTTTTGGTTAACCCTAGGTTTAAGAAGGTTACCCAAGGTGAACGATGTTTTGGAAGATCTGGCCCAACACTTTGGAACAATTTACCAGACAGCTTGAGACTTGAGACGAGTTTTAGCATTTTTAAAAGACTTTAAAAACGCACTTTTTTGAACTTTCTTATAAGTAAATTAGGTCTAGGTCACAATTTTAAACTTTTTAAACTTTTTTACTAGTAAATTAGGTTTTGTCCATATTTTTAATGTGGTATGAATGTAAAGCGCCTTAGAGTACTGTAGATTTGGCGCTATAGAAATTCTGTGTATTATTTTTATTATTATTATTAGGAATATGAGACTCGATTATACAGGATCTCGAAAGCAACTATACCATTTTTCATAGGCAGTATTTATATCTTCATCTTTCAGACTTTCCCAGTCTACCGCTAATAAAGAATTACACAAAGCAGTTTCATTAACATTATGAAAATTCCAAATAAGGCGTTTGTAGCACTTATGTTTTGAGAACGATATTCACATTTTGGCAAAAATCAAGGAATGATCGCAATTGGTTGGGGGAGTCAGAGTTCACTTTGAACACTGAAAAAATCCTGGGGAGTTGGTTATGACAAGATCTAAAATGGTAGCACCATATTGTGTAATTCGTGTCGGTTTTTCATTCATTACTTGAAATAAATTATTACACTGCATCCAACGATACAAAAGGCATCCAAAATCACTTGAATCAGACATATTCGAAGGGTCATAATGAGCATTAAAATCACCGATTAAAATTACAAGTAAGTCAGGTTTAGTATTGATTTTATCCAGACAAGTTTGCAAATTTTGTAAGAAACTAGTATTAGCATCAGAATCACCACCTGGTGGTCAAAATTTGCTTAAACATTTTCAAAAAAACGATGTTTTTTAAGATTAAAAACTTAATCCTTATTTTGTCGGCCATCTTGTTTGCGTGATCGCCGTACGTGCATGATTTACGCGTGGCATGACCAAATCGCCATGTGATATCAGTCAAATCCAGTCCCATACTCACGTAGCAGAAGATTAGCTTTCTGATTGACACATTTAGTTTGAGATACAATATATATTAAAATAAGATCGAACACACTCTGAATATTAAAATCTTGTGAACTCAACATTCGAGCTAAAAAAATAAGAATTTTGAATTTTGTTGTCTTATTTTGATAGCTCGAATATTAAATATCTTAATTTTATTGAATGGTTTGACATATAATCCGGCCGAGTATTTTACGAGTTTCGAACGTATTTTCCTTTCCGGTATGTACTAAAATACGGAACACTAATCCGGAACACCGGAACAGCATGGAACACCTCCGGAACAGAACGGAACAGCCCGGAACACCTACGGAACAGCACGGAACAGCACGGAACAGCTTAGAACAGCAAGGATCACCTCCGGAACAGCCCGGAACACCTTCGGAACAGCACGAAACAGCACGGAACGCCTGCGAAACAGCACAAAACAGCGCTGAACACCACCGGAATAGAACGGAACAGTCCGGAACAGTTGGAAACGGCCCAGAAAACCACAGGAACACCTCCGGAGCTGTAGCTTTTAACCATTTAGGCGTCAATTAGGGCTGGCTATCTTTAAAACCCGGAACGGGGAATCGGGCAATGAGGGAACGGGGAATGGGGGAACGTTGAATGGGGAACGGGGAATGGGGAAACGGGGAATGGGGGAACGGGGAATGAGGGAACAGGTATTGGGGGAACGGGGAATGGGGAACGGGGAATGGGAGAATAGGGAAACGAGGAACGGTGGGATAGAGGAATCGGGAAATTATTTTTAATACGTAATATTGATCATATGTACGGGGGAAAAAGAACAGAAAAAAAATGCAGAAATTCGACTGGATAAACGGGAATCGGGGAATTACGAAACTATAAAACACACTCTGGCGTCTTGGGAATTAAAAAACCACCCAATAAATCAAAAAGTAAAGAAATTTAGCGAAGCTTTACTTTATTAGTACGGCTTATCATAAAAATTAAAGTCAATCCACATTGCTTATGTCAGATCATTATTAAGTAGTATTAGAACTATTTAAAGCAGGCGTAGGAGTGTTTTATCATTTTTAAAACGCGAAGCGCAGCTGAGGGTTTTAGATATGATAAAACACGACCACAAGTGCTCTAAATGGCTTAAAATACGACTACAAAAGAATACTAATTAGGATGAACCATTATATAATCATACTAATTAGGATGAGTTTTATCAGATATAAAGTCGCTCTACGTGACATATTATGGCTGACATGATTTGCCACATGGTTTATGAATTATTAATGAGTATTTTAAATAATAATAACAATGCTTAAGTCATTACTAATATACTTGCTATATAATAAAACAAACTTAAAGACTAGATGCAAGCCGAAGGCAGTCCTTATGCTCCATATGATATCTTAAGGTGGCTCCCTA